TTGTTGATTCGAAGTCCAATATCATCAATGCAGGGATGATGCCTACCTTTATATTTTGATCCATGGACAGCCAAGGGATGTCATCAATGATCTTATCCAATGGCCAGCAGCCTTGCAGATCTGAATGGGGAGAAACAGACTCAGGCTTAATCCTCAAACTAAGTAGCTTTGGATTACACTCCCCTCTTCCCCCACCCCGCATCCACAAAAAAATCTGGAAACTTTCTATTTTTAGGTTTAATGGGATTGCACTTCTCCATTTAAGTCTTCAGTGCTGTCTAGGGTTTGTCTTGAACTCATCGCTCCTACTGATGCTCTAGTCACTTCACAGTTGGATGTGCCATGTGTTCAACATGAGGCTGCTCTTAAAGATCACTCAGAAGCTACAACTGGTCCAAAAGACAGCACTGCTAGCAATGCTGGGTATATTTTGATGTATCCATGTATCCTATTGCTTTAAGAGCTACAGTGGGATTCCAAGTGCAGTATTCATAAAACTTTTCATGGTACAAGACCATGTTGTTTGAGTCATCTATTTGCCATGGTGCTCATTTACATATATGTGTAAATACACACACACACACACACACACACACACACACACATTACATATGATGACCATGAAGTCACAAATCTAAGCTAAATAATTTCTCTCAACTCTCTTTTTTGAAAGGGCACCCAGTTGTAGGGGACAACCATTCCTTTCTGATCACGTCAGTATATCAAGGCCAGAGAAAACCTCTTTCAGACAATCACAAAATCTATCTTTGCTTTAGAAAACAGATAATCATTATCCAACTAGATAAAATTTTGGTCCTACAAGAATCCCTCTCATTTTCATATAACTTTCTATTTCATTTATCCCAAGGATTTATGTAGAAATGAGACTTAATAAATAAATATCTCTCCTGATTATTATTTTTTGCTTCATTTCAGTTATGGAGCAGAATGCTTGAACAACAGTTTGATACTTATAGGGAAGTTCATAACAATTAAGTTTGCAACCTTATGGCTACAAATCTCATTGAAGGGAGTTATTTTTGAATGAGTATGGATAAAATTTGACTATATCTGCCATAGACTCTGTAGGTCTTTACAGAAAGGTCAATGTATGATTTTAAATTCTATTAAATTCTATTTAATAGAATTAAATTCTATTTAAATTCTATTTTCCTCATTTATTTCCAGCTTCTTTATTCTTCTCTTCAATAACTTCATTCATATTTTTATTGAAGCTATTTTCTCAATCTGTCACTATTTCTCACTATTTCTAATTCATCTTGTTATTTTTCTTTGCTCTTAATATATTTTCTCCCCAACCTTTTCTTTCCCTGTAGGGGATATTCTTCTCCTGAACCCTAGCAGGATCTTGGATAGATGCACATTCAGCCTCCACAGTCCAATCCTGCCATGGAGCTCCAGTTCATGTCTGTTGGAGCTAGCAGTATATTCCCAGGGCCTCAGTCTTGGAGGCCTCTCTGCTGAAGTGCACTATGTGGACACAAACCAAAGTAAAGCAATTCATCTGCAAGAAGGCCACGAGGAGGATGTCTGGTGAGTTTTGTTCTTGATCACTTGGAAGATGGATATTAAACAATAACCAGGAAACCTGCACTCTGAGCCACAAATAATTTAAGGAAAACTGATGAGACACAGATTGTTTATCTTGAAAGCCATTTATTCTATCATCTAATGTTAAGAACTAGAACACTGAGAGTATTAGGGTCTCTGAATGGAGGGTCCCAGTTAAACCAAGATTAAGAAATCTTCCCAAATCTAGGACAAACACTTGAGTTTGAAACTCCAAACCTAATGATTATTGTGTCAGGCCTGCAGCCATATTCCTTTTGGATCTTTGGCCTGCCACACTTTCTATTATTCTACTATGCCATTTTTATTGTGGGAAGGTACGGAGTTAAATGCCATGTAGCCAGAATAAAATTCTTTCCTAGAAGCCAAGGTCATCCTTTATCTCTACATCTCTGCACTTGACCGGAACTGGATGAATGAAACTGCCAGCATGGCAGTGGAAGATTGGATCATGTGGTGGACTTGTGGGTGTGGGGCAAGATCATGAACTCTCAACTAGGTGGGGAAAAACAGGAAGCGTTCAGATTCGGGTTTTTTCCAGATGTGCCAACATGGCTCTCTTAATAAATTGGAACTTTGAGCAATACTTGGCCTTGGACTCTGATTTAATTTTGGGTGCTATTTGGAACCCTGACACCTTGTCCCTTAGCTAAGCATTCAAATCCTTTGCTAAGGAATTTAGTGAAAGATTTGCTTTTCTCTTGCAAAGGATTAGTTTTCCCTAGCAAAAACTCCAGGGTGTTTCTAGAACTTGGCACTCTGACAAATTAGTCATCAACAAGCACATAGATATAAACAATATCTACATAATATGCAAAAGAGACAATCAACTAGTCAAAAAGGGAGATGCCTCCCCACCAGCAATCAGAAGCCACATGAACATAGATTAATTCCAAGATTAACTTCAGACCAACAATCAAATAAACAATACCCCAGTCAAGGAACTGCCAAACAAGCTAACAGTAAACAGCCCAACCAAAGAACCACTAAGACCAGCCCCAGCAATACTGAAAGGACAAGCAAACTCCAGTCCTTACTAGCATTGATGATGTTACCTAGTTTGGATAACAAAACATCTGCAAGAAAACAACAAAGCTCAAAGAGCACCAAGGACCCCTCATTTGAACCCTGAGTTACAAATATTCTCCTTCATTTTTCCTCTGAAATGTTATTAGTATTGAAATAATATGTAGTTACCTAGATTTTTCTTTGATATACTCTAAGCTGTGTGACTATAGAGGCATGTCACACAAGCCAAACATCTTGAGAAGCATCAAAATAATTTGATTCTGGTGTAACTCACTGTGTTGCATCCTTGAGGCAGTTCTAATAAATCTCTTAAACACATGTGTGGGAAACTGTTTCATTAAAATAAAAAAATACCAATCCTGGGATGGACAACTTATTTTTTCCCTTTTCTATTAAGGACTGTATTCCCACAGAGGGTGAACTGCTAAAGACACACTTAGAGAAGACATGACAAACTGAGGATGGCTATGCTAGGCAGAGCTAATAATTATGGTGGAATAAATTGACAAACAGACTGTTTGTAATTTCTCTCAAAGTAAGGAGAGAACCTGAGATCACCCACAAGTGTTCTGAACAATTGGAGCTAGATATTTTTTGAGGAGGAGAATGACAGCAAAGGGCTGATTAGAACTTTGATTTTGGAAAGTTACAGAGAGTAAGAATCCAGATGGATCTGAAATAAAATTATATTTTTATTTAATTTGTGAAATTATATTATTGATAAGAATCCTTCCCATAAGAAACTATGATAGGATGAGACTTTGAAAGTTAGACACTAAAGGGAATTAGAAGGAACTAAAGATTATAATTAAAGGAGAACACTTAAATTTGACTTACTAATATGGACTGGAACAAAACATTTTAACATTGTATATACTAAATTGTATTTTTTAATGCAATAGAACCAGAAAATTATATAGATGCAGGTTTGTGTAAACAGACCTCTCCTGTAGAGCTCCACAATAAATATTTTGTTTCAGACCCTTCATGCCTTCCTCAGGAAGAGGCTTTCTCAGCAGAAAACTCTCAAATACAACTCAGATGGATAAGACTCCTTCTTGCAGGCAAGAATGAAGCAAACATATCACCATCCATCTGCATTGTAAAGAAGTGTTTTTATAAGCCATAAACTCCAGTCTTTTCCCTCCCAAGTGACTGATTAAGGGATACTTGACATTTGACTTGGTAGCCATTTGCAGCTCAGACATAATAGGTACATTATTGTTTTTTTTCTAAGTTGGAAACCACAGGTTACCATATGATCAGCACAAACTATTCCTTCATTTCGTCAATCCATCATTGCCAGAGGTGTGTTGACCTCCACTTTATGTTTGTATCTATATATGAGCATGGAACATTGTTAGCTAATTTAACAAGATGCATCCTTTTGACATAAAATCAGCGATAAAAGTATTGCCCTCCTGAGTTCATCTGAATTACTGCTGCAACAATCCATCTTCCACTGTCTACACCCTAGGCTTCATTCTGAATTCCATTAAATAAATTAAATTGGCACAAAAAGCCCCTTTCTTGGCTCAAGCAGAAAAGGGTGCTTACTGATACCTCTGGAAAGGAACTGCTTCTTTCATACCTTGCAGTTTGGAATCTTTCCAGAATCTACTATAAAAGTGAATGGCTCCAGGCTTCTCTGATAGCTTCCACAAGAATCTTACTGAAATTCAAAGCAACTTTACAATTTCTTTCTGAAAGTCTTGATAAATAAATTTTTAAAAGTCAAATGTGGCTGCTTCTAGCACTTACTAGATGTAGCATTGTATTTAAATATTGTTAGTTGTTTAAATTGATTATTACTTTGTTGTGTTTCTGATGCTGTTATAATGTATGGTGTTTTTTATTATTTTGCTTATATTGCTCTTAAATGTAAGGACATATTTTAAAAATTGTGATTATATATCATGTGTACAGTACCGGTTTGAAAACTATTTAGGTACTTACTATAATGCACACAATAATCTGGAAAACTCATAGAGTTAGTGGCTTTTATTTACTGTGTCACTGCAGTGCTAGTGACACAATGATGATTCAGAGCTGGAGAGCTGAACAACATGCAGAAAGCATCCATAAGTACTGTTGTTTAAGAACTGAAAGATCTAATATAATTATCTAAGTTGTGTTAAGGGCAAAACTGAACATCAAAAATATATATATTTGTTATTTGTGGTAGATGTGTTATTTGAAGCTGTTGTGATTACTGAATTAGTGAATACTGAAGAATTGCTCCTAGGGGAAATACACATATAGGATTCTGCAAGCCTCTGGTTACAATTTCATCAACTGATCAATACATAATCTAGTTTTATGTGTGTTTCTCTTTAAAGAAATCTCTTGACCTTGGCTTGCCCCACGAAAATTAAGGGAGAGGTTGGTGAAACTTTTTTTTAGAAGGCATCAACAAGTATGACATATCAACACCAGGCAGTTTTACTTTATGACTCTGGCTTTCACGATTTGTTGAAGGTGTTGGCAAATTTCCTTCCCAAACTGGCTTGCAAAATTGTGAAAGACTCATTTGCCAGTGTGCCTGGCTTTTGGGCCTCAAATCTTTAAATGTTTTGTTGTAGGGGGTAAATTCTGTGGAGATTAGGCAAATTTCTCCCATTTACATGTTTTATGTAGGCAAAAGTCCATTGAAGAATGACTGTTCTTTCAACATTAATGCCTATAAACAGGGAGAAAATCCCGCATTCACTAACACTGATGATGTTACCTAGGTGGGTAATGAAATATCAGCAAGCAAACAACCAAGCTTAGGGAGCCTCAAATACTCCATTTTAAAAGTCTCTTTTGTAAATCCAATATAGAAAAGTTATCCAGGGCACTCTTGATGTCTTATTCATATATCCCTTTTCATTATGAAAACATAATTTCATTTATTTTCTAGTGCAGCATTTTATTTTCCACATCAATCTTTTAACTTGTCATTTTCAAACCCACTTTCAAATCACTCTCACTCTTGTCTGGTAAAACTTATTCCTCTTCTGTGATATCTTTTAGACACAATCCATCTACAGAGGTAAATGTTCTTAAAATTAACTTCAGGCTCTATTGTTCAAAACTATTCTTCAATGCAGTATATTCAGTGTTAAGATATTTTGCTCCATTCTGTATTATGTAAGGGTTCTTCTTTAATAGTCATTTTTAGTTCCTTCGAATTCCCTGTAGTGTCCAAATGTCTGTGGAGATTCTTAGTCACCCAGGTCATAATTGTCTCAAAGGTGTTTTTTCAAAAGACAACTGGACTGTTTTTTTCCTTGAGGAAGACGATGATGGCATTTTGCTTCTCATCCAAGACGCTTCATCAAGTTGTGACTGGATGGTGGGAGGACGGAAGGATATGTTCTGACAGGATGGTGGGAGAAGGATGGAAGGATTACTGTATTTTTCGGAGTATAAGACACACACACACACACACACACACCCAAAAAAGTGGGTGGAAATGACTATGTTTTATGTAGCGAATATTGCAGGGGGGAGGGGATTGGTGCTATCTGAACTATCTATGACAAGCAGGAATTCTGAAAGTTATATCCAACACATTTGGAAGGCACATGTAGGAACATTTATTCAGATGATGGAGAACTATTTTGTTTCTTCTTGTTACTTGCCATTTTCTCACTCATCACTTATATCTGTATTATTGATCTTCATAAATATTATATACTTTAAAAAAAACATTGTTCACATTGCAGATTTCAAGGTGGGGGGAGGATGTGATGTTGAACTGTATACCTACAATGTGAAATTAGTCTCCTCGTGAAGAGCTTTGGCTTGATTGAGCCGGGGATATGATGAAATAATTTTAATAAATCCAAAGAAACGTATTCTTCTCATTTTAAGGAATGGATCTAGGAGAGGAATATTTTATCAATCTTTGAAAAGTATGTGTTCTAAAAATTAGAAGATGAAGCAATTTGTCTATGGGCAAGGATAAGCTTGAAAATTTAATTACATAACCATTCATAGTTATATGAATTCATTCTTTTTCCCCCTATATATTTCCTTCCTTCCCCCCCCCCTTCCTTGCATCCTTCTTCCCATACTCCCTTCTCCTTCCTCTTCCTTCCTTCCCTTTCCTTTCCATCCATCCATTTATCTGTCACGTTTAGTTATTTTAATCCCCATAATAGATCTAGGTTTTCTTCATTGTACCACTACTCATCTATTTTTTTTTTGCCTGTTGCTCCCATAGTTCCCTGTTTACATTACTAAAAATAAGTCAAAACAAATGAATAAAAATCAGTTTTAATTGATGCTTACCTTATTTGGTAGGGTTTCACAATATATGCTATTATAACTGGTCAAGCAAAATACTTAAAGTAGTGATTCTCATGCACTTGCTGACAATATAGTTTAGTCACATAGTAGTTTATAAGCGGTATTAGAGGGCATGTCAGGTTCAGGTTCATCATAGCAAAATATTATTACTAACATGTAAATGTTTTCTAACATAATTGATCAAAGCTGCACAGTTGTAAAAATATAATTTGAGATAAGATATGTGAAATCCTTTGTATACATTTATGCTTTTTATAGATAAGCACATTTATTAACCATGTCAACTGCTTTGATTTTCAGGGTAAAATGGAAAATTCTAATAGGCTTGATTGGACAAATGGAAAGGCCTTTTGAGATTACTTTGCTGTATTCAAGTTGTGATGAAAAGAATTCTGGGTTTTTGGCGCTGGGATCATTGCAACTTCAAAATTGCCTTCATGGTATGTAGGAATTTGTATTTGAAAAAATTGTGATCATTGGATAAGATAAACGTCCCACTGACGACTTCTGGCCTAAGGTTCAGCAACAAGCTGTGAAGTTAAAAAAAAATAAAAATCTATTATTATCAATTTAAATTTTACTGTTTTATAACCGGAGTAAGCAAACTGTGGATTTCAAGCCACATGTGGATTAACCCCTTAACCCCTATTTTGAGGCGTTATGGAGCTCTCCAGGCATTACGCAGGCCAAACTGCTGAAAATTCCCACCAGTTTTTAATGCGAAATGAAATAAAATGTTTGCTAAGCCTTCGTATAGATTTGGAAACATGGAAGGCAGGATTTTCCACTAATCCTGAAAAATGGGCCCATTCTCTTTACTACTTACAGCTTCAGGTGGCCTTGGACTGAGGGTTGCATATACCCAGTGTAGTCCAGTTTGAGTTTCAATCCATTGCACAATTGGAGCAGATCCAGAGGATGATAAAAAGCATTATCAGACTTTCGCCAGACCGATACTCATCCTAGAAGTCTCATAATTACAGAGTCCAGGCCATAACTGTGGTATATTTTAAAAGTCGTGTCAGAGAAGACTGATTTAAGTGTTGATATTTGTTTGTTTGCTTGTTTTTCCTTCAGATAAAGATCTTTACAGCTTTGATAAGGGATCTCCTATCCCCTGCCCACATGAGGGCTGTGTCAGCTACCTAGAGGTTTGCAGTTTCTATTCTGATTGTCCAACCAAAGAAGAAGATGAATCCCTCTGTGGTAAATATGAATTTGCCTGTCTCTTTCTGTCAGAGACTTCTTACTTGTCAACTATTGTAAGAAAGAAAATATTAAGCCCAATCTTTTTTAATCCTGCAAAAACCTCAGCAAGGAAGGAAAAAAAATATTGATTGCCAGGTGCTGAAGGCAGGACAAGAAGCAATGGATGGAAATAATAAAGGAGAGAACTAACCTAAAATTAAAGAGAAATTTCTTGAAAATTAGAACAATTAATTAGTGAAACTACTTGCCTCTGGAAGTTGTGGGTACTCCAACACTGGATGTTTTTAAGAAGAGATTGAATGGTGTTTAAGCAGGCGGTTGGACTAGAAGACCTCCAAGGTCGCTTCCAACTCTGTTATTCTATCATTGGCTGTTATTATAAATGACTATTATTTCCAGTGCTAGCATTATTTCTTAGATCAGAAAAAACCCTACTATTTGGGTCTTGACATGTTGATGGATGCTGGTTCCTAAGCAGTTGATTTTTTTCAGTTTATATATTTAATATTAAAGAATAGTAAGAAGCAAATTATTTAATGATTTTGGTAGAAATGTAAATTTTTTGTAGTGATGAGTTTCTATGCAAAGTTAACCATACTTCACAATATACTGTGCTGATTTTTTTTTGTTTGCTTGCTTCTTATAAAAATTACTGCTTTTTTCCAGATAGCCTAACAGAGGGGGCACATTGTTCTTTTGAGGAAGGTGCCTGTGGCTGGACAATAGATGGAAATATAAATTCTTCCTGGTCTATTAGTGATTTTTCAAGGATGCACGAAAACCAGATTGGAGGATCTGCCTTACAAGCCACTGGAGGTATATTCCTTATTCTTCACCTTCTGTTTTAGCTGGAAGGGCATCTCCATTTGGGATTCTTTTATTTATTGAAATGTTGAGCAACCTCTGAGCTACCTCTGTTGTAGAGGGATATTCATAGTGCTGCCTTGAGAGAGTTTGCAGCTGTGAAGGAAAACATACACAGTCTCCTTATGTATGAAATCAGAAAATGGCCTAAGGAGAACATGAAGCTTTGTATTTTCAGGAGAATACAATCTATAAAATCTATTTTGAAATTGAAATTATCTACATTTTGTATGCAACTGATATTAAAGTTGAACTCTTAGTCATGGACTAGCAGGTGAAAATCCATATGAAAAACTTACTTTGAAACACATTAGAAGTCTATAGGGAGAGTGAAATGGTGAAATAGTTATAGAGAAAAAGTGAGAACACCCACCTTTGTTTCTAAGATGTTGGGGAGAATTACCTTTGTAAGAGCTACTCTAGAATATCTCTTTTGAGAGGTAAAAAGGGAGATGGGCCTCTACAATTCTTCCCTTCTTCTAATAAGGATTCCACTCCCTACATGCTTTATTGAGGGAGGGATTTGTGCATTTCAATTCCCACCAGGAAACCTATAGAAATGGATGGATTTTCCACATACCTGCAAGGTTCCCTTAATATGTAGCTTGTGTATCCTGTCTATGGAATCAGAGTGACTTCCAACAAGGAAAGAGTATAGCATTTAGTTTTTTTTTTTTTTGTTTAGAGCAAAATTAGCTAAGGGGAAACTGAAATATATAAAATCATGTGTGATATGAACTAGAGCAGGACTGTCAAACTCCCGGCCTATGGGCCAGATGCATTACATGCTAGCCACACTCACACCCGATTTAGTGAAGGGAGAAAAAGTCCTGATACATCATGTGACACCATATTAGTTGCAATATACAAATGGAATAATGGGAAAATATGTGATTGAAAGAAAATTTACAATAAGGTCTAGTGTTAAAGGAAATGTTTATTGGTATATGTCACCAGAGAAATTGTTTAGAATGTAAGAAGGTATTTCAAATTTATGTTGGATATGTGAATTAAAAGATTTTAAAGAATAGAATAGAATAGAATAGAATAGAATAGAATAGAATAGAATAGAATAGAATTCTTTATTGGCCAAGTGTGGTTGGACACACAAGGAAATTGTCCTGAATTTGTGCATATGCTCTCAGAGTACATAAAAAGACAAGATACATTTGTCAAGAATCATAAGGTACAGCACTTAATGTCAAAGGGTACTGATTAGCAATTAGGAAATAATAAGTATCAATATAAATTGTAAGGATACAAGCAGCAAAGTTAAGTCCTGCAGTCATAAGTGGGAAGGGATGGGTGATAGGAACAATGAGAAGACTAATAGTAATAGTAATAGCAGCCTTAGGGAATAGTTTGACAGTGGTGAGAGAATTATTTGTTTAGCAGAGTGATGGCATTTGGGGAAAAACTGTTTTTGTGTATAGTTGTCTTGGGGTGCAGTGCTCTACAGAGTCATTTTGAGGGAAAGAGTTGAAATAATTTATGTCCAGGATGTGAGGGGTCTTTAAATATTTTCACGGCCCTCTTTTTGACTTATGCAGTGTACAGGTGCTCAATGGAAGACAGGTTGACAGTAATAGTTTTTGCAGTTCTGATTATCCTCTGAAGTGTTTGTCTTGTTGGGTTGCAGAACCAAACCAGACAGTTATAGAGGTGCAGATGACAAACTCAATAATTCCTCTGTAGCTCCCTGGGCAGTTTCAGCTTCCTGAGTTGGCGCAGAAAGAACATTCTTTGTTGTGCTTTTTTGATTACGTTTTTGATGTTAGGTTTCCATTTTCAGTCTTGAGATATGATAGATTAATGTACAATTGAAACCAGAAGCTTTTATTCTGGGACTAATGGATAAACAGCTGGGGGGGGGGGAAGTCATGGAACCTTGTGTTGACAATTTCAGTAAGATTGTTATCTGCTCAAAAGAGGAATGGTGTGGCATTACCCATGATGGAGGAATGATTGCTAAAATGACTAAAGTCACCTCTGTGATTAGAGAAAAGACATCTGTATTCATGGCTGACTGAAAATATCTTATAGACTTTTAGCATGAGGCAGAAAAATTAACTATGGTTTCGATGATCAGGAAAAAATAGACAAAAGAAAAAGAGCTTTTTGGTAACCATAGATTAAGAGATCATTTTCTAATCATTCTTGTATTTGCTACAAAGAAATCAGAGTTTTTTCCCTTATTATTTCTTTCTATCTTTTGCTTTTGCATTTTGTCCTATATTCTCTCGCTTTTTTATTGTCTTTATTTTATGTTAGCTTTGAGGATATCATAAAATATTCTAGTTTCCAGAATATCGTAAAATAATATCCTTGGTGAAAAATCAGCATGTTTGTTCTAATATATTTTAAATTCTACTATAGCTCAGTCCCAAAATACCATTGAAATCTAGTTCCAATTTTTTTCCTCTAGGTCATTTTTTGTATCTGCATGTCAATAGTGAACACACAGATGGCCTTGCCCGGACATACAGCACTGACCTTCCAGCCATTCTTGCCAATGGATCCTATAAGGTACTTTAACCTCTTCCTTAGACAATTAAATTTCACTTTGCAAACTTTTTGTGTGTGATTTTAGTGATATGCAGAATATGTGTGTGTGTGTGTGTGTATTTGTGTGTGTGTGTGTGTATGTATGTATGTATGTATGTATGTATATATGTATGTATATTTTTTCATACTATATTTATTTTGGTCAAGAGTGTCAAAATGATTCTGCACAAAAGATCTGTAGTAACAGTTTTACGCTTAATAACTACCGCTGTACATACCATAGAAGCAGGGCGTACATTCAGCCCCAATACGGTTTGAAACCAGCTCCACGTTGATTTTTAAAAAACAAGCATATGATTCTATTTGACTGTTGGATTCAATTTTCTGATTTTAAAAAAATCAAATTGATTGTGAAATGTGAGATTTCTCATAACTTAAATAGCAAGATTGCCTTGACAATACAGGAGAATATAGCAGGAGATATTCCCTTGTTCCTATGCCATCCAAACCATCAGTGCAGAAGCACTATAATATGGGGAAACCGTGGAGCACCCCGAACTGTATTCTGGATTATCTTCAAGGACTGTAGACTCTATTACAATAATCTAACCAGAAAATAACCAAAGCTCCAGTCCAGGGGTCAGCAACCCGCAACTCCGGAGCCGCATGTGGATCTTTCATCCCTCTGCTGTGGCTTCCTGTTGCTGGTTGGCTCTACAATTGATAGAGCTTTCAGTTAGGACAGGTAGAGGAAAATGAATGCCCTCTAAGAAGAGACTCTATGGTGGTGGAACCAGACTTCTGGTCAGCTGCCCTTGAAGAGTGTTCAGAGACTACAGTTGGTCCAGAATGCAGCCGCGTGAGTGATGTGAC